TTTCCTGCTCAGAACATTACAGATATACACCACTGTTGTGTATTGCTGTCTTATATATTCTCAGGGTGGGGGGGAATTGATCATAACGGGAGCAGCTGTGCACGGCAACCAATCAACTTCTCTCTTCAGTTTGTTCAGTTAAAATTTGAAAATGAAAGAGAGAAGCTGATTGGTTGCCGTGCACAGCTGCTCCAGATTGTGTCTGCTCCAGTTTTGGTAAATTCCCCTCTCGCTGCCTTGTAAATAGTTTTCTCTGGGAGCTGGTAGTTACCATTCCACTGTTTCTAAAGCTGGGAGACTTGTTTAACCATTTCGCTGCCACCGATGGGTGTCATACATACAGTCTGTTTAAAGGGGCTAGCAGTGGGCCCCTTTAAACAGACTGCCGCCAGTACTCTGTTTACATGTGTAAGGCTCTGTTCACACCTAGGTGTATCGAATATGCGCGTTTGTCACGCGTTTCGTGAAGTGTGTTTTTACCGCGATTCGCGGTAAAAAAAAACGCGCCACAGACGCGCGTTCCCGAGTGCTACTTGGCTGTATCCCAATGGAAACACGCGACAAAAACGCAGCAAAGAAGCTCATGTACCCTTTCATGCGTAGGCCGTTTTGTAGCGCGTTCAGACTGGGTGAAATGGTCTTGCCGTATACCCATAGAAAACAATGGGATTTTCATGTTTGAGCGTTTTGTAGAGTGTTCGTAGAGCGTTGAACGCGCTACAAAACGTACAGGTGTGAACCAGGCCTAAAGCTGACTGTCAGCATTGCACTGGAAGCGATTCTGGTGGCTTAGCTGCCGCCAGATCACTTCCATGGGCCAGTGTAGTGCACAGACACCCCCCGCCTTGCTTCCCAGGCTCAAGTACCCCTCCTGCGGGCCCGGGACCGGCATCACAGTTGTGGAAGGGAAGGAGACTGGCGAACATCCGTTCAGTGATCTCCTTCCAACTGAATGAAGCCGGTTGTGATGCTGATTGCATTAGAAGCAATTGGCGTTCAATGGCTTTGGAGTGGAAAGGTGACACTAGGGGTCGAATATACCCCTAATGTCATCTTAAAGTGACACTAAACTCAGGAGTTAAATCTTTAAAATGCATTTAGAACCTTAACTATTAATACAATGTGGCTTAGTTGTTTTAACATAAATATGCGTCAGGTGTGCCTGTGTACAAAACTGACGATCGCGCTACACATATTGGGTATCGCCGCGTGCACAAGTGAGAACAATAATTCTAGGGGCCAATATTCACACATCTTTAAACTGATGACCTGTACAGGGTTTTAGGCGTTGCTAAACATTGGGTATTATATTGCGTTTTTGTGCACTAAAATTAACGTAGCTTTTTACCTGCTTCCCCGATCATCACGCTTGCTTTCCTGTCCTCCCACAGCGCTAGTACGGCTGAATGTGCACATTCGGCCGCACTTGCACCACGAGGGAGATTGCAGATTTTGCGTCGCTGGAGTAGGATGTTTTGAGAAGTATGTGTGCAATGATGCTTTACGCGCGTCCCCCTTGGGGGAGTTTTTTTTTTGTTTTGTTTTTTACCATCCACTACTGCTGTTGTCTCCTGAAAATGCTACTTAGTCTGATCATCTGTATAATTTTATTCAGCGATTGTTGTGATTGGTATTTAACCAAACTGACCTCTACCGGAGACTTTGAATGGACGCAGCTGTTCAGCATCTCCCATACATGTCCTAAGACCATTTCTAGACCCTGAAATGCTTTTCTAACCATAGAGCTTGCAGATTATACCTTTTTGACCAGCAAGATCTTTTTCAGACTGTATTTTTGTACGATAAAGTCTACATAATTTTTTTTTTATTATTCATGGCGGACACTCACCTGCATTCTTCATGTGCCCTTTTTTCAGTATTCGAAGGTGACCCCATGGGATTCATGGCCATTCTCATCCCCCGAAGATTACCGAGAGTGGTTTTTCAGGCGGCTGCCCTATCAACTTCTAAATGGGCATGGCATAATCCTCCTGTTGATGAACTTGGAAGGCGTTACCTATTCAAGTCGGCCAATGCACCTGCTCGTTCCGAGGATGATCACCGAAATAGGTTGGGCCATCGGGAGTCTCCAGTCGCTTACAAAACTGCTACATTTCCGGCCGAAATAAATGACTATGAGAAAGGAATAGAAGAAAATGACGTTTATTCCTTTGATAATGATTGCCCGAGTCTTGTTTCTAAACCACCAACAAAGGCTTATGCTACTATATCGCAGTTTTTACCTAAAGACAAACAGATAGGCTTGAGCCTAGATCAGCGAAAGCCAGCCAGGGTTACATTTAAAAAAATGTCAGAGGCTTCTGATTACAGATTGTACGGCGACATTGAATCCTACGACACTAGACAAGATCCCCGGGCTTTTCAGCAACACAGACCAGAATACAAATCAATGTGCTACAACTCCGAACGTCTTATGGAAACATCTATGGAGGAAGGTGACCGCATTCTGGAGAAAGTTACCAGTCGCCTCACACCCAGTGAAGTTTCAGACTTTTTGGAAAAACTTAGTTATTTACCTGAAAAAATGCTGTTGGCTATCAAATCAGATGAAAGATTTAGAACGCTGTGCAGCTGCAGTACTTCAAATCTTCCCTTTTACACCAACTCGGAAATCATTAGTATTCTTGGTGCATTTGTACGTCTCGGAATTGCCCCGTGCCCCATGCTAAAACAATATGAGCAAGAGCTTTGTCTTAGGGTCAGGCAGTTATCTACCAACGAGTTGTTGCTGGTGGCAGATACCTTTCGGTATATAGGTGTTCATTTTCCCGAGTACTTGAACCTTACGTACAGCTGCATGCAGCTAAGTTGTTCAGACTTAAGCTTGCCCCAGTTAATACAGTTGATATATATTATCGGTGAGGGGAGGCATGCCCCAAAGGAATTGCTGGAGAAAATTGAGCCGATGGTCCTGAGATATATAAAGTCCATTAACCTTGAAGAAATTGGCACGGTTTGCCTTGGCTTTTTTAAAACCGGCAATGGATTATCACTACACCTCACAGAAAAATTTGGCGACATCATCGTAGAAAACATCGAACAAGTGACCAATTTTTCCTTGGTGAGCGTGCTTAAAATGTTCCGTTTCACCCGTGCGTTCCACATGCAGTTTTTCAGGCAAGTTGGAGAGGAGGCCTCTAAACGCGTACCTAAAATGACAATGCAGGGCATCATGCATGTTGTCTTGGCTTTTGCGTCCATGCGCAATCTAAACGAGGACCTCATGAATGCTGTAGCTTTAGCTATCCCCAGTAGATTGTCTTACTGCCGGAGCAAAGACCTCGCTAAGTTCTTGTGGTCTTTCGGCATGCTCGGATACAAACCGCCAAACGCCGACGTCTTCTACGCTGCTTTTATCAAGCAAATCCATAAAAACCTGAAAGAATTTATGAAATATCCTGAACATTTTCTTACTTGCTTGATGGGGCTTGTTTTCTGTCAACAGTATCCATTGGATCTGATCAGTATTGCTTTGAGTGAAAAGTTTGTCATGCGTTCGGCCAAAGTACGTGCGTTTGAACTTAAAAAGGATCTGTTTACGATTGCTGGCTCTGTAGAAATCGAATGTCCTCAATACACTGGTGATACTATCTCCCCAGAGTTCCGAAAAGAAGTAACGGGCATGATTGTTGAACTGTCCACCCGGGACATTCACAAAAGGGAAGAGTGGATTGAAGCTGGCATGTTGCTGCAGCATATTTTGGGCGGGCCGCAGTACGTAAAGGAGCATATGATTTTGCCGCACACCAGGTCCAAAGATTTTGAAGTCCACTTAGATGTGAATGGAAAGCCTGTTGCTGTCAATACCGTTGTTGAGGAACTTGACCCGCCTCTTATTAAACACTGTAATGTTAAAATCACTGATGACCTCATAAGTCAGTTAACCAATACAGCCAAGCGAATCCCTACCAGCTCAAAGAGTAGACCTGTTACCAATCCAGAGGATCCCAACACCGTCAGAGACTTGTCAAAGGCAACTTTGCCGGAGAAGGCTGAAAATCCTGCCGGCCAATCTGTGGTCATCAAGTTGGCTATCCAGGTTACAAACCGCAATCAGTACCTCTCCAACTGTTTCACGGAACCTACGGCGCTCTATGTTTTGAAAAGACGCCAGCTACGGAAGCTAGGATACGTAGTGGTCGACGTGCCCTATTGGGAATGGTTTCCGCTTGCCAAACAGACACAGTCCGAAAAAATGGCCTATCTGCACCAAAAAGTGTTTGGCTCAGTTGAGGTTAAATGAAGGAAAACGCTGATGAATAAAACGTATTTTTTAATGTAGTGCTGTGATCATGTGTCTAGAATTATTTCATATCTAAAGGTTTGGTTGTCTGTTTCCTTGCAACCCCCTCACCCTCTTTGCTGTACATGCACAAGTAGGAAATTCTGCTTTTTGGTTGGGCCTCTGTTGACATTCTTTAGATTTATCTCTGCAGCAGAAGAGCTCCAATTCTAGGAGCTGGAAAATAATGTGGCCTTGATTTTGTAGTTGGAAAACTATTGTATCGTAAGTCCTTTTTTTTTTTTTTTTTTTTTTTTTCTTTTTTGTTGGTTTTTTTTTTTTTTTTTTCTTTCGGCCCCCGTTTGCAAGATTTTCTATCAGTTCTGTCCCTGTGATGCCCACACAAGAAATGGGGGAGGGTGTTCAGTGGGTCACCACATGCCTTTCACTTTTCTAGGCGATAGGCTCTTCAGCCTTCCCCTAACGCAGCACTAGGTTCTCACACCGAGCAGCCATTCAAAATATGCTGCCCGGCGTCGAGTGTTGACTTGAGGCAGGGTAGGGTTGGGGTATGGCCGCTAAGAAGCTTAATCATTATGTGCATTGCTTACAGCTCCCTCGCGTGTCCTATAAAGGTGCCTGGACTGGAGTGATGTCACATTCTGGCTCCAGGCAACTCTACAGGTGCGCATGGGAGCTGTACTAGCAATGCACATATGGATGGAGCTCCATCACAGCACAGCAGCCCACACTGGACCCCAGGTTAAAGAACTGGTTCACACTAGTACAGTGCATCACACAATCCCATGCGATCACACCTACTGTGCGTTCTGGTGTGGAAAATGCATTGCCATTTAAATGGCACCCCAAATGCACGGGCAGAAAAAAACCTGTCAAATGTAAAGAGCCATTACCGACTTTTAAACATATAAGAGATTGGCGGCTCTATAGCCATCCAATCGCTTGTATGTGCTGCACTGTCCTGCACCCTCACCTTCCATCCTGGGCACCTCTGTGGCCTGGGATCGGCACTGGCGGGTGTCGGGAGGAAGATGAGGGAGATCGGCATCTTCCTCCTTGCCATCTCCCTCCCACGTCCTTAATGCGGGAGTGGCGTGTATTAAATCACTTCCGCATTCAGCTGTCATTTCTCTGGCTGATATAGCCCCAGCCAGCAAGTGGTTACAAAAGTTAAAATCAACCCCGCCGTGCTGAGTGCTGCCCTCATTCCACTGTGTGCCATATTGTGGTAGCCGGGCAGCGTTGTAACACGCACAATGTGCATTAAAGAGCAAGTTCACTTTCCTATGTACGGCCCTGTGCTATGGATTTTGAATTTCGCTCACAAATTGCAAGCACTCATTGGTCACCAATGAGAACCACTTCTTAAGGTGCCCATACACCTTACGACCATCGCAAGACTTTTGTCTTGCAATGGTCGTATGCTTCTTGAAAGCCCAGTGTATCTGATTGTTCTGCCATCTGATCTTTATTCATGACTAATTGGGCTTCCTCAAAATATTTGTTTGCATCCATGGGGATATTTGGAGCAAACAAAACCAGGCCTGGAAATTGGTGAGCTTTCTTCCTAATTGCCCAAAATCCATACTGTTCATTGCCATCATTTGGGCTTCACACTTCTGAGATGTGTGGGACAATGTCATCATTATTATCAGATTTAGAGTTCAGTGTACATAATCCTCTTCATCATAGTAAGAGAGATAGTTGAGGATTATGAGGGCTTTTAATAGTAACTTTTGAGTTTAGGTGACATTTTAGTTACATATCCAATAGTTGAAGGGTCAGGTGTGTTATTGGCGAGCTGATTTTATATTAACAATTGCAAGAATTATTATTATTTTTTCCATTGAGCAGCCGTTCTGCAGTTACTATACATGTACACCAGGTGGCACTGCAGCTCTTTATTACACCGGCCATAAACAGTGTGGCAGTTTTATTCGACATTAAAGTGATTCTCCAATCCATTTCAATGGAGCTGTTCACATCTCGTCGCTCAATATCGCTTGTAGCTCGTCGCTCCTCCATGACCCTTTTTTCGAGCGATTTCGCTCCTGATTGCATATGGCCCAATAGGGAAAAGTCGCGCGATGTGGCTCAATATCGCTCATATAAAATCGCGTGATTTTCATGTCGCTCAGTGTGAATGGGGCCTAAAGGAGAACTATGAGGTGGGTGCTTTTCACTCACCTCATAGTTCTAGCCGACCTGTGACAATGAGACTGTCACAGGCCGGCTCAGTAGATCGGGAGGTGAGCGAACACATACCGGCGTTTGCTCACCTCTCGATCCTGTCATGGATCTCTGCCGTGACCGGGGAGGGGCTGGATTCCCCCCGCTCCGATCCGCCAGCGCTGACTGGCGGAACGGACGGGGCAGGGGGCGGGTACAGCTGGCTCTGCTTCTAGATAATTGTCGGGATCCGCTTCAGCGTCTCGATTTACTGCGAGCTACTGCTCGCGGTTTACTGAGCTTAGGGTGAAAAGCCTTAACCCCATAGTTCTCCTTTTTAAATGACGCCTCTTAATCTGATCTTCCTCCTTTCCTGTCCTTTTCAGCCTTCTCTCCAGCGTTGCGGCGGGTCTCCAATCCAGCGCTGACTCCTCTGTCCTTGTTGGCACTTCCTGTCCCACAGTGTCTGCATGCGGATGCACGCGTCCATAGACTTACCTTGTGTCTCTCCTTGTCTCCCGGCCGAAAATCCAAACTGCGCATGCGCCCGCCCCAAGATGCTTTGGGGCCGCCCGAGCATTTTCGGACGGGAGCGTTTGGCGAGGACACCAGTAAGTTTAAACCGTTTTTGAAGTGTTTTTTTTTGGTTTTTTTTTTGCATACATCTTCTGCTTGCTAGCCGTAGATATAGGCAAAAAAAGTGAGGGTTTAGAAACCCTTTAACAATCCCAATGTTCTATATTGTTCAAGTTTACAAAAATCATGGCGGCAAATACAGATAACAGAATATACGCTCCTTTTTTATTTTCATGACCATTGTGTGCAGAAGTGTCTGTGAACAGTGCGACCGCAGCACTCTCCAACTTTTCTCCATACTCTAAGGGCCCATTCACATCACATCCAGATCATCTCCAGACCACACCAGATTATTTCCGGACCCAAAATGCATCCTAATGTATCCTTATGCTATTTCTGGTCACATCAGCACAGTTTGTTTCAGACCAGAAAAATTCTTTGTCTCATGTTTGGTCTGGAATGCACTGAAACGCACCTGAATACACCTCCTGCTCACAATGCGCGCCATTACACACACTGCTGCAATATCATGTGGTTGAAAAAAGTAGTGCATGCGTGTGACACGCTTGCTGTGCCATTGCTTGTTAATGGGACCCCAAAAGCAGCGGGTAAAATGTGTTTTTCCTGGGCATTGACGTGCATCAAACATGCACAAATGCATGGTCAAAAATACTGTACGAGCTTCTTTGTCGCACATGCAGCAGCCCAATGCAGCAAATTTAGTAAAACATGTACAAGTGCAACACGCGGTCGCATGACGTGAAAGTGTGAACCTTAAACTGGGGTGCCGCGAGATTTTACAAAATTTTAGTGTGCTGTGACTGAAAAAATGGGTCAATAATCACTGGTCTAAACAATTACCAGATCCAGTTACTTTGTGATTCAAAAGCCTCATAATAAACAAAAAAAACAACCTTCCTTCACCTTACCTGACTGACAAATCCTCCATTTGTGTCTCACACGCTCCCCCCTCTCAGACACTGCAGCACACAGTGGGAGGGTTTCAGGAACAGAGGCAGTGCTGTCAATCCAGAAAGCAGTGGGTGTGGCCAGGTGATGTTTGACAAGCTACAGGCTTGTGAATCAGAACTAACAATGCTGACAGCCACGCCCCCTGAATAATCTCATTTCACTGTGTAGTGCAAGCAGGCACAGCTTACGTGAGTGGCAACTCCGCTCTGAATTCAGGAGCAGTGCAGCATTGTTTCCATCACAGGGGAAGCTCCATTAGGTGAACTGGCAAGATCAGCAGGTTTTTCTGGGATGTTGCAAGGGGGCTGAGAGAAAACTGTAAGTACTGCAGGACTTTTTTTTTTTTTTAATAAGATGCCATAGTTTCTCCCACGAACATTCCCTAGTTAAGCAGTGTCCTTTTTTATTATTATTTTTAAAAATTAACCCTTGTACTGTTTTGGGGATCCACATGCCGTGTTCCCATTCACCTTTTTGTTCTCTTGCCCACTTCTGCTTTGTGTACTCAAGCCATATGCATGGCATGAGTACACAATATGGACATTGCACGTTGCCTTGCACCCCGTGTGGACGCCATGCTGTGGATTGGCATGTCTAAATGGAGTCCTCAGTGGTCAGGGAGAACACATCCAAGGTTGACAACTTTGCTTAGGGAACGTTGTCACCCTAGGACAGAAAGGACCCTAGGAGGAAACTGGCTGGATCAGCAGGTAAAAAATAAATGAGTTCATTGAGAGTTTCATAGACATTGATTGGGTTTTAGCCATAGGCTGCTTAGGGGAGCAATCTGAGTTCAGAATCTGTAAATTTTAGGGATGCGCCGATATATCGGCCGAAAATTGCACTTTTGGCATACTGCCGAAAGTGCCATATTCCTGCCGATACAACGGCGCATCCCAGGTTTCTTTCCTCCCCGCTGGGCGCTGCTCTGTGTCCCAGCGGGGAGGAGAGAAACTGTGATAGCAGAGCTCTGCGGGAGGAGAGCACTGTGAGAGGCCGGTGTCTCCTCCCACACCGCTCAGTCTCCTATCGCAGTCCAGCAGAGCGGTGTGTGGGCGGAGACAGGCCGCGCTGTCACAGGAGGCTGGGCTCTCCTCCCTGCTCCGCTCGGTCAGCCTCCTGTGACAGCGTGTCAGAGAGGAGAGCGGGTACAAACACTCGGCAATCAGTGATCGCTGAGTGTTTGTAGATAATTGAGGACATGGTATGGTTACTATATCCTCAATTATGAATGAATGCGCAGTGATCTACATCACCTCCTGTCCATTCATGATTGTGGTAATAGTAAACACACCATGTCCTCATGTTATCAATGAACAGGAACACTCAGTATAGAGGATTCCTGTTCATTGATAACAGGTGACACAGAAAAAGACATAGAGGACTCTGTGTTCTCAATCTCTTTTTCTATTTTAAAAGGGAAATATCAGGGGTCTGTTTAGCCCCTTAATATTTCCCCGAAACCCCTAAAAGTAATGTAAAAAATACAAATATTAAAAAAATAATAAATATAAACAAATGTAAATGTTTATAAAAAATAAAAACAAATAAAATATTTGAAAAAATAAAAAAACATTTCTGTTTCAGCCTGACAAATTTTATTTCGGTTCGGTTTTAAAATTTCCATTTCGGTGCACCTCCTAGTAAATGTAGTAATTTCCTTTTCTCTTCCAGGTGTTCCTGTCTGGAGATCCGTCACAGTGATCAGTCAGGATGGTGGTCAACGTTTGTCTTCCACAGTTTAGGCCACACATAGCCTGCAATAAGGTACATTCTTCAACATTTGATTAGGAACTCTCCTAAATTTGTATTGTTCGAATAAAATGTGTCTGTAGTTTTAAAGTATCCTGTTATTAAAATGAATTCACAAATACATAGGGAACAGAATTACAAATTAGTTTCTTGCCTTCAATTATAAAACAATGCTTTTCCCAGAGCTCCCAGCCCAGGCAGCCCTATATCACATGGTTTTGGCTCCCAGTCATTAAATATTATTGACAAATCTTTACATTACGCTCTTTTTCACCTACTTGACTGTACCTCACTCCTGTGCTCCGTAGCAAAGATCCTGCTGTGATTTACACCCGTACATTCAATTGCTATAGCCCTTCAGGCAGCCCACTCCCTAGATGAGCTTTGACCACCACAAAGTCAGTCTACATGCACCTCTTGGAACAGCCTCTCAACAAGTGAATTGCAGGTCCCAATGTTCTGGATCATCAATCACGTTATATTCACATGCATTGCATCCAGGCGTCCTCCAAATCAAAAACGCGCTGAGCAAACTGGGTGAACAAAGTGAGGTTTCAAGTGCGATCAGATACCACACTTCCTCCTATCTGTTATATCAACGTGGGTAACAACGTATCCAGTGAGTGAGGTGTTTCAAGGGCTGAAAAGTCATGGAAGTTGCATCTGTATATCACTGCAGGGCCCCAATCTTTGAAGACATATAAAAAGCAATGAAATAAACAAGATCAGCAAGGCACAAATAAAGCAAATATGGCTGCCCCATGTGTACAGGTAGTTATCGGCTATATATAAATAGGATTTTAAGTATAATAAGATTTTAATACATTAACGCACTCACTCTTTCAATTTTACTAATGTCGACTATAGATCAAAAAAAAAAACCTGCCTGCTGACAGCGCAGAGCTGCGCTGCAGCCGGGGAATGATCCTGACCTATATTGTCGGGATCCACCCCGCTGCCTGATTGACAGCTGGCTCTGCCTCTCTAGAGCCAGCTGTGCCAGCCTCCTCCCCTCTGTCCCCTTCAATGAGCTCTGGAGGAACAGAAAAGGGGAAGAGGGAAAACCCTGCAAATTCAAGATCGCTCAGCTCTCGCTCTATAGAGCTGAAGGAACAGAGGGGAAGGGGGAAAACCCTGCGGGTTCAAGATCACTCAGCTCTCGCTCTATAGAGCCGGCATGCGACACCTGCAGTGTCATGCCGGCTCCAAGTATTGGAAAGAGTACATTTTACTCTCCCAATACTTCTCCTTTAAGTCTCAATAAGTGCCGAAAATGAAAGTTTAAAGCTTATAAGGCTTGTCTACCTTTTTGTCTCCTGACCTGGAGCAGTATATAGGGCTGTAATGAGCCTGTGGTGCTGGATGTAAATAGATAATGGAGGCCGCAGAAAAAAAGGATAGGTTCTGTTAGTAGGGCCCTTTTGTATGGGCATAGCACCAGTCGACTTTAGGAAGAAGTAGAGTATGCTAGTGGTGCCCTATCTTTAGCCGTCAGTTGTCACCTTAACCCACCAGAGAATAATCTGGACTGAATTCTTATTCACTATTTTCTATCTTCTATATAGGAATTTTATATTTTAATGTTTCATCATCTAGTATTTTTATAATATCCTTTTATACTGCCTCTGTTTAACTCTATATGTTCTCTTACATTTTGGCCCCAGATCAGTGCGGACGGCTATGAAGTGGAAAATCTAATCACCGAAGACCTTGCTAAAAGGAACCGAGGGTTTCGCTGTGAATATTTTATTAAGCCTCCTGTACACATCACTTTCACTTTCCCATTTAACATAGACATATGTAGGATAAACATAGACACTTCCTCTGGGGGTCACCCTCCCTTCACTGGAATGGAAATCTTTACAGCTACTTCCACCAATAAAATGTGTTGGAACAGCCAGGAATCCGGTCAGCCTGTTATGGTTGGCCAAGGAGCGGACAAAGAACTATTTGCTTTGGTGGGTAAAGTGCTACTGAGAAATCAAAGCAAGGCTACGTTTAATAACCGAAGCTTCAAGTCTAGACACCCATTCCATCATACCGACAGCGTGATGTCCTACCATGGGTCTTCATGCCAGGATCTCTGGAATAAAGGCCAGCACTCTCTTGGCAATGTCACCCATCTGAAAATCTGTATAACGCACATAGCTGGTGGTGCTCCTTGCTCAATAAAGAGGGTGGAGGTGTGGGGTCAGCCTTCTAAGACTTGTCCAAAAGAAGCGGTGGAGAGCGTGTACCAGGTCGCCGTTCTGAGCCTTTCCAATAGTTTTGGACAGCCTCAACCCGCCTCTCCAATGGAAAGTAACCACATGTCTTACAGTAACTCAGACAACGCACAACACAGCCTAAGCGAACTTGCCAATATTCTCCAAGATGTGCCGGAGGAATTTCTGGATCCCATCACACTGGAAATCATGAGTTTCCCCATGATTTTGCCATCCGGGAAAGTTGTTGACCAAAACACACTTGATAAATGCAACCAAAGTGAAGCATCATGGGGTAGAATGCCAAGTGACCCGTTTACTGGAGTTCCATACACTCCCCAATCCCAGCCCCTTCCCCATCCCTCTCTGAAAGCCAGGGTAGATTATTACCTCCTCCAGCACACTGTCCCCGGGTCTACTCTTTTGGGCAGGGCGAGACCAGGGGGACCAGTGACGCCTTCTGCCATAGCCTTGTCTTCCATGAAGAGGAAGGTGGAGTGGATGGAGGATTCGGCTAATGACGGTGATAATGTAGACACGTTTTTCTCAGCTGTTAGTGGCCTCTGCTCTTCTTCTACATCAGATTTTGGTACAAAAAAAATGAAGATTGAAGGGGATTGTCAAATGTCACAGATGGACTGCTCAAACTCAGGTATCTTCCAAGTTCTCCACATCATTAACTATGTGTATGTCTTTCTCTTGTTCATTGAGGGGGACAGGGTTAAGAGACATTTGGGTTATACTGACACCTTCAGTAGTATTTGTACACTAGCAAACAAAAACAGTGACCAGCCTAGTAACCACACACATGGATTTGTTTGCTCACTCGTTACTAACCTTACACTTTGTGAGTGTGAACATAGGATTTATATGTTTTCTGTATTTGTGAACAGAGTCGATGTCACACGAACAGCGGCTTACGCAAAGCCTAGACCAGGCTCTCACCTCCGCCCTGGGCTCCATGCCTACATACACTGCGAAATTTATGAAGAATCAACAGGGATTTCATATGGAAAGTGCCAGCAGCTCGTCCTGTTCCACAGACTTCCCCACCGGTACTAACAGCATATCACTAACTGTTCTCTTACCACTTCACTAGAAGCCTGTTTACCAGGGGTAGCCAAACTCCGGCCCTCCAGCTGTGGGGGAACTACAAATCCCATGAAGCATTGCAAGATTCTCGCAGCCACAGACATGACTCCTGGAGGGGGATGTATCATGGGATTTTTAGTTTCGCCACAGCTGGAGGGCCGTAGTTTGGCTACCCCTGCTGTATACCTTCCTACTTACCATACCAGGCCAATTTGTTGTTTCTTTGGGTTATGGTTACTTGACCAACTACTAATTGTGTAACTGAAATTCCTGGCAAAGATAGCTCGCACCAGAATGCGGGGGCAGATTAATGTCTGTCTTCCGCTCCAGAGTGAGATCGCAAAAACTAGAAATAACTCATCCTCATAGTTCAAGCCGACGCGTGACAATGAAACTGTCACACGTCGGCTCGATGGATCGGGAAGTGAGCGAACACATAACGGCGCTTGCTCACTTCTCAATCCTGTCCCTGCAGAGAGCAGTGACTGTCACTCATGGCTCCCTGCAGGGATTAACCCGCTCCGATCGTCCAGCACTGACTGGCGGAATGGATGGGGGAGGGGGCGGGTACAGTTGGCTCTGCCTTTTAGATAGGCAGAGCCAGCTGTCACTCACTAATGTCGGGATCCGTCCCGGCTGCGGCGGTCTCAGTATATCGCAAGCTATAGCTCGCGGTATACTGAGCTTTGGGTCACGGGAGGACGCTACTTTATGTCCTCCCATGACCCTTAGGAGAACTATGGGGGAAAAACAGTGCATAGTTCTCCTTAACGAGCAGTTGAATAGGTGCACCTAATAAAGTGTGCGTGTCTCATTGTAACTGGATCTGGAAATAGTTTACACCGTCATACAGGAGCCCCTTAGGTGTACTGTAAATGTGTAATCTCACTTTTTTCATGTAACATAAGTGATCTATAAATGTAAGAATGCAGTTGCATTGATCTGATGGTTTACTAATGGAAAAACTTTATTTTCCTGTGACTTCTATTGGGAGTTTTCCGACTTTACTTTGTGTGTGTTTGAACGATAAACTTGGTTGAGAAGTTGTCATGAGCTCTTAACTCTTTTTCTAGGTGTGATTTTTGTTTTTGTTTTTCTTTCCCTCCAGCACCAAATCAAAACGGACCAGTTCAAAGCTGCGCTTCCTGTATGAAGATGTTTTCAACATACTGTAGAACAGAACCTGTTTACCAGCTCTCCTGTGGCCACCTTATGTGTCGTCCTTGCTTAGCTGAAACACAGAAGAGTTTCTCTATTGTGTGCAAGAATTGTAACAGGTCTGTCGCCACCCGCGATGTGCTGCGAGTCCATCTGTAAGTCATACAGACTGGAGGCTTTTCCCCGAATGTAACTGGAAAGAGTTCTGCGCACAGGTCCCCTCGGAGGACGTAATGCTTAACATCACCGATTTTTTTTTTTTGCTGCTAATTAATACAAACCTGTATGTATTTCCTTAGGTGGTCAAGTTTGGAGGTTTAAACATGTTGCTGGGGCAGCTTTTTCCTATCCATGCTAAAAAAGTATCCCCCTGAATGCAGATACTTTATTTTTTCCTTTGTGTGTGTGTTTACAGAAATTAATCGCTGTGCTAGCTTAAAACAACGTGGGCTCTTTCAAGGATTCTATATTGGAATTAAGTGCACTTGTGTTCTGTGTGCCATATGCACCCCTTCCTTAAAGGAAAGCTCCATTTTATTTCAGCTTTGATATGGTAAGGCAAGGCAGGAAAATCACCAACTTTGTAAATTTGTATTTATGATTCATTCAGCTCAGTAATAGCTTGGCTGGAGTGACCCATAGTGGCACACTACACAAAATGGCAGTCTAAGAAGTAACCTCGGTTGTATAATACTTGATAGAAGTGAACCTGCCCCTTTACCTCCCCCCGCCCCCTATTTGCCTAAGGAATTAGAAAAAAGTCTAATTCCTTGGTAAGCTCCATGTTAGAGCTTACACAGAGTAATGATCTTCTTCTCTCTCCCACACGACAGCGCTTAGGTCTGGCGTTTGGGTACTCTTGCCAAACTACTGCATCCTGAAAAGATGGGGGCAAGGTGCATGCCCCCCAATCGTCGAAAGTGCAGGTCATTTCTGAGAGCTTCATCAGATGAACAGATTGGTGGGGGAACGTTTTGAAGATTTATTGTTCTTTCTGGGTAATCCGTTTGTGGGCTAGATGACTGCTGGTTGAGGAAACAGTCATCACAGGTTCTGGCAGGCATCATAGACTTGCCCGCCCAGACCGTGCAGAGGTTCAGCTGGATTCTGAACCTCCAGAAATTGGCACTGGAACCGTCTTGTCACTTGGAATATTCCCCAAGAGACCCTTCCAACCCTCTGCTCCTAAATTAGAACTTTTCAGTCCACGCCTCTTTGCTTTTTCCTGAAAGTCATGGGACCCTTCAGTGTAGTCACTTGACTGTTTTCTTCTAACATGGTCCTGGAACTGATATTAGCCTCCTTTTTGAGGCTGTCCCATTTGCCCAGTTCCACTCCTGACTCCAGACAACACAACTTCTGTCATCGTGGGACAAGTCATTCTAGTTCCTGGACAAACTGATTCATCTAGCACCAAATACCTGGTTGTCCCTCGCTGGGTGGCACAGAAGTTATTCTTTGGAATTAGGGAAGCCCTTCTTCTTTCTGGAAGATCCTCCTGAAAAATGCCAGCCTCTTGGGCTGGGGAGGAATGCTGGGCACTTTGTCAGGAGACTTTTAGAAGAAAGTCCTCTAGAATGTCCGAGAACCTTCATCTCTCAACATTCTTGAACTTTGGGTGATTTGTTTGTCCCTGCAACACTGGGCAATGCAGGGGAATCAGAAGTCTCACCACGGTAAGTGATGCAAAATGCATCCTGTCTTGGGCTGAATGTCATGTTCCAGCCTTGTCTGCCATTTGCCTCCCAACTGTTTATGTCTGGAATGTAGACTTCCTCGTCCGGCAACATCTTGACTTTGGGGAGTGGTCCCTACACCCAGAGATGTTCCAGAACCTGTCACAGGTAGGGGACTCTGAATGTGGACCGACAGGTTTGTTCAGGTACAGTGATCTTGTGGATGCTCTGGTGGCTCTGTGAGATCAGTAGTCCTTGATCCATGGTTTTTCTTCCCTGAAACCCCTTCCTTTTCTTGTCTGCTTTTCAGAATAGAAATGGAGGCAATTCTGGTGATGCTTGCAACTCTGGACTGGCCATTGGTACTGCACAATAAGACTCCTGGCAGATGCTCCGTAGGCTGTCTCCCTAATTGTCCGATCATCTGTCTCGGGGTCCATTCTACTTGAAGGTCACTGGCTTTAAAGTGGATCTCCTCCCCCTCAATACACCATCAAATCAAGATGGGTCTGGACCAGCAATCTGGCCCATAGCACTATCAAGAATCTGGCCTCTGTCTGATCCTTTTAGAGGCTTCCCATTCTTTGATGATGACCTTTGCGCAAGGTGTTTGCAATGTGATTCCGCTGTTATTGGGTTCTCAATTTGGTTCTCTTGCCACTTTAAAAACCATGTTTTCAACCTATCAGGGATATGCCCTTTTCCACTCTCACAAGGTTGTGTCCCTTGTTGCCATAACATCTGCGAGGTGAGTGTCTGAGCTGGTGGCCTTGTCTTGTAAAGAATCTTTTTTTGGCACAAGATGGTGTTGAGGCCCAAACCTAGCTTTTAACCTATCGCCTCAACCAGGACACCATTTTTTTCATCCCTTTGTTTGGCTCCATGTCATTAAAATGAGATTTCCCTTCATTGCCTGGATGTAGTTTATGCTGTAAAGGTTACTGATTTTTTCATGAAGAGTGACTGTCATTTCCGAGGGTCCCAGTAAGGGTGAACCAGCCTCTAGTGGCACCATTTCTCTGTGGCTCAGACAGACCATCATTCAGGCCTATGGTTTTAAGGATTGGATGCCACCCTTTTCTGTCAAGACACACTGCACTAGACCTGTAAGTACCTCTTTGGCTTCTTCGGTAACAGACTGTTTGTTTCTCAGATTTACAAGGCTGCCACCTGGTCTTCTGTTCACACGTTCTCTAAGTCTTACCAGGTGGATTTTCAGGACTCATCTGATGGCTGCTTCAGGCGTAGGGTCCTTCAGGCGGCTTTCTGAGCTGCAGCAGTCCCCAGTTCTGTTTTTTTGTTTTTTTATTGTTTTGGGGCCTGTTAGCATTTTGTTTACTGCTGCCTACCCCTCAGTTGGACTGCTTTTGGATGTCCCGACAGTCAAGACTTACTGTGTCCCCTGAATGGATGAGAAAGAAAATAGGATTTTTGTACGCATGGTAAACTCCTTTTCTTGGAGTCCATTGAGGGACACAACTAACATCTCTGTGTTTTATAATCGGGCTTTTGGCACCACTTTGCTGGAAAACTGCTGCATGCCTCACTGGACTCCAAGAAAACGATTTTACCAAGAGTATAAAAATCCTGTTTTATCATAGCAACCTACAAAGTTAAAGTGATACTAAACGCAGGTGTTAAATCTTGAATACTTACCATATAAGTATCAACAAAAATGCATCTTATTTGTGTATCACTCGGCTGTAGATCCTCCAATCATCTCTGAATTGGTGCTGACACTGTCCTTCCTTCTGGAGGAGGGCTACTTTTGTGTGTCTGTGTGTGTTGCAAAGAAGTAGTCACCGCTCCAAGCTCACTCCCGTGATGGACTACAATCTCACATTTAGTTTACTAATTTGTATTGAGATTGTAGTCCATCACAGGAGTGAGCTTGGAGCGGTGACTACTTTAGAAGACACACAGGGACCATGGGGAACAAAGTTAGCCACCCTCCAGAAGGAAGGACAGTGTCAGCACCAATTCAGAGAGGATTTAAGGGATCTACAGCCGAGTGATACACAAATAAGATACATTGTTGTTGATAATTAAGGTACTGGAATGCATTTTTAAGATTTAACTCCTGAGTTTAGTGTCCCTTTAAACTCCTAGATCATATCAGTATTTTGTGTGTCCACCCTTTACAAGCAGTCAAGCAGTGTAGCACCTGTCAGACCTCTGGTGACCTTTTTTAAAGCTGAACAGTCGGCTTCGACAAAGTAAAGCGGTTTTCAGGAAAGAAAATATTTCATAAGCCTGCACGGTATAATCCTTTAACAGTTCTAATTCCTGCATAGGCAATAGTGTGAATGGTTCTCTTTATGTGGCCATTATAATACTGCTTACTCCATAGGCTGTCATTTGTCTAAATTTTGCAGTAGCCAATCACTTATGTTTACAAAGTCTTGTGACCCAAAGGGAGTGTAATGGAACACATGATTTTTCTCTCCTGCCTTGCAGTGTTAACGTTGTCACTACAGTGGTGTTATGCTTTTAACGCCTTTGTATGTTTTGTTATTCGGTAACTTATATCTTTATTATCAACATACAGACCTGTGAAAATGGAATATGAACCCTGTACTGGTCAATTAAGCATATAGATCGTATTATAACTGCAGAATTTGGGTATCTTTGCGCACAAACTGCCCGTGTCTTCCTACTTGAGCCGCCTTCTACACTTGCATATGGAATCAGCTGTCAGGAGGATACAATAAAAGATGCATTGAGAAGAGCTACAAGTCAGGTCGTCAGTGCTTCCTTGCCTCGGATGCACATATTCCTTATTATATCAGAACATGGCAACTTTTTTGTGCAGCCAGTCAGTCGAAAGGGGGTTGTGTGGTCCAAGGATTGGGCTGTGATGCCAAAGAACTTCTTTGGCATATTATTAAAAGTCAGTATTTATAATAAAAATAAAACCTGGCAAAAGTAAATCCATTTTAGTCATTTCTGGCTTACAAAGAGATCTTAAAGCAGACATTCAAACCAAATTCAAAGTCGGCTTATTAGGCCTCATTCAGACAGGGCGTAGACGCACGGATGTGAAACTTCTGGGGTGCGTATGATGCCGTACAGAAGAACTGGCTGCTGCGCGCAATTACACACAGCACCTGGCCCTCCTGGGATTGGCCCGTTTAGGGTGTGCACGCCGCATGGACCTCTGCGCCCCATCTCAATAAGGCCTTAATAGTACACCCCCCTCCATGCCAAAACTCCACATTATATTTACCATAGAATGCTGTGTTTTGGGGTGGAGGGAGTGGGCCACTATTTAAAGTGGGCATCAGAACAACAAATCTTTCTTTGATTTCTTTTTATTTTACTGCAAGTTCTGTTGTTGGCTACATTCCATATACCCATTGCACTCCTGACCGCTTATCCATAATAAGAATGGTTGGGTGCATCGGCAGTCGACGGATGGCTACCGTCCAGTAATACAAAAAGGTATGGACACCGGCACTCCAAAGGTAGAAGTATGTCTATTTATTGACGCACGTGCAAAACATGCT